CCTGTGCTGCTCAGCCCATGGAAACTGAGCAGGTGAATACGGACACTTCTTTCCTCCCAGCCCCCTCTGAGGTCCTCTTTGACTGAAAAGTTTGGCTAAAACCACATTACCCCATTACCAATACCACAGAGTATTTCTACACACACATATACCCTTATTTTGGAGAGGGAGAAAGAGCACATGTCTTTGGTTGGCTGCAAGTTTTTCTAGTTAGCTTTCTTTCAAATATTCTGAGGTCAGAGACTAAGCAAAGTTTACTTTCTGTAATCTCCCAAGTCTATCTGGTTACTCAGTAAACCTCAGTAACTGAGGTGAGATGGTATAAAACCAAAAAAAAAAAAAAAAAACCAAACCCATTGCTGTCGAGTTGATTCCAACTCATAGCAACCCTATAGGATGAAGCAGAACTGCCCCATAGGGTTTCCAAGGAGTGGCTGGTGGATTTGAACTGCTGACCTTTTGGTTAGCAGCTGAGCTCTTAACCACTGCACCACTAGGGCTCTGAGATGGTATAATAAGGAGGAAAAATAGAATGGAGTCAAAGGCCTGAGTTTCCTTCCTAACTTCTGTACTTAATGGCTGAATGGCCTTGGACAAATCCCCTAACCTCTCTGTGGCTCTGATTTCTCATCTGTGAAATGGGAATAATATCCAACTTGTCTACCTAACTTAGTATTGATTGGTTCAAGTGAAGCTTGTATGACAAGGAAGAGTTATAAGCAGCAAGGACTATAAAGGAATATACAGATGTAAGGTGGTTCTTTGTTACGTGAGTGATGGTGTGATTGTCATAGATAAGGATCTTCAGCCTTCTCTGCTAATATGTAACCAATTCAGGAACAAGCTTTCACAGTTTCAGAGAGCCAAAGAAAGGATCTGGATTGCAACAGTTCTTTCATAACTAATTCTCATCCAGCAGACCATTGTTTTGTTTCTTTTACTAGTGGAACAATTCAGCTACAACCTGTGATATTGTTGTAAGGATACTTCGCAGGGTGACAAAGTAATTCTTGGTAATAAGTACTCCATTAAAACCCCAGCACTCTGAAGCCTGCATTCCAGTGTATGTATGAAGAGCAATAGCTTATCTGACAAGGAGGCTCTCTCAGAATTGTCTAGAATTGATATGATTTTAATTATTAAATTAATACGTCTATAGCTACTGAGAGCAAGCCTAGCTCCTCTGTTTTTCAGAATTATAAAGGTATAACTAAATAGAATAGAAGTTGCTTTAGACCAGCTATCCTGTGGAGTGTCTTTGTATAAGATACTATCAGACAGTGAGTTGTACAAAGCTTAAAAGAAAAAAAAGACACAAATGTGGAAGATATCCCCACTGCCATAGAGTCAATTCTGACTCATAGCAACCCTATAAGACAGAGTAGAACTGCCTCATAGGGTTTCCAAGTCTGCACATCTTTACTGAAGCAGACTGCCACATCTTTCTCCTGCGGAGCCGTTGGTGGTTTCAAACCGCTGACCTTTTGGTTAGCAGCCAAGCCCTTTAACCACTGCACCACTAGGGCTCTGTTGAAGATATAAGAGATGCCAAAAATGTTTGCACATATGCCTAGCACAGGGTCTAGCACATACTAGGCACCCAATAAATGTCTGTTCAAATGAATGAATGAACAAATGAACAAGTTGACTAAAAGGAGGCAGCTTTTGATCCTTAAACTAACATACAGTGGAGCCAAAATACTACACTTCAGCAGGGAGGGAATAGGGGGAAAATACTGTTGTATCTCAGTTGTCAAACAAAATAGAAGAACAATAATTTTTTTAAAAAAAGACTCCTTACTTAAAGGACTTAAGAAAAGAAGATTTAATTAGGTAAATGTGAGCAGAAGAAAATAAGAATAGCTCAGATTTATTCCACAAATATTTTTGAGCATCTCTGTGTGCCAGGCATTGTCTTGACCTTTGAGAATACAGTGGTGGACAAACTAGCCCTAACCTGCTGTCCTGGTGCTTCTGTGTAGTGAGAGACAATGATCTACTGTGAAATGCCTAATATGAACCAAGATAAAGATACTGAAGAAAAAGACAGCAGTTCTGTGAAAGCATCCAACAGGGGATCTTTAGGCTAGAAGAAGGCTTCTCTGAGAGGTGATGCTTGAACTTGGACTTGAAGGGAGAGTAGAAGCATTCTAGATGGAAAGGGTCATGTGCAAAGGCCCTGTGGCAGGCAGAGCATGGTGTGTTTAAGGAATTTTAGAGAGGTCAGAACCCCAGAGTGTAGAGAGTGAGGGGGAGGTAAATTAGCAGCTGCTGTGGCTGAATCATTGTATATTATTTCTGAAAGTTTGTAATTCCTGAAGAGACTACTGGGTGTAACACAGATGAGAACATGACCTTTTAGGGGGGTGAGAGTCTGCAAGAGGTAGGCCTTTGGGGAATACCCTCTCCCTATTGTGGAATAACCTGGACAATGATCAGGAAATGCTGCAAAGTGAACTCCGTTGGGCTCTTAGGAGGGAATGTGGTGTGATGGAAAGTGTACCATGAAGAATAAAAACATGGACTGACTACCCACTGATATCATCGTACTAGTTGGGTCTGGAAAGGGGAGGAGGAAGGGAAGTGTGACTAGGAACATGGGCCATTTAAAGTTTACATATTTGATTTCTTTTCAGCAATACCTAAGATAAATACGGAGCCCTGGTGGCACAGTGGTTAAGAAGATAAATATGCGTTAGCATGGGCAAATCACTTCTCTGGCTCTCAGCTTCCTTATGTCTTAAGAAGAGTTTTGAAGAAGATGACCTGGCAGACCCCTTCTAGCTCTAAAACATTCTGTGACTCTAACTCCTGAAAGCAGTTGATTATTGAATAATTCTACCTATAGGTAGAAGTCTACCTATAAGTGTGCCATGTCCAAGAATCCCCAACTCTTAAAAAGAGACCCAATTTGCTTGCCGCTGGTAGCCAATTACTTTCTTTTAAGGAGTTCTATGCGTTGAAATTCGTCTGTAAAGTGACGATTTTGAAAGCCATGTGCTCACAGCATGCTCACATCCATCCTGGGCCAGACTCGGGGATCTGGACCACCTGGCCACCAAGGTAACCAAGCAAGGGCCACGTGCCTCTGTGTTAGGCCTCTTGCCATTCACCACGTACATCTTAGTGGTTTTTCTATGAGTTTGCAGGACACCTGCAAGGACAGTTGGTAGATCCTGAAGCAGAAGAGTTCCATTCCCTTCCCTCCAAACTCCAGATTAGAAATACAGTAATGGAAACAACACAACACAAAACAGACACAACCAGATGATAGCTGCCATAGCGAACTCAGCAAGGTATATAGGTTGCAACAGATTGCACAACGTAATTATCGTTTTACTGACTTTATTCGCAGATGTCTTTGTGTGTCAAAATCAGTATGTGTGTCTGAGATTGTAGCTACTCAAAAAAAAGGGTGCCATGCATTTTTGGGGGTTTTGTTTTTTTGAACATTGTCCGGGATGGTACCTTGCACCCTCCCAGGGCTTCATAAATGCTATTGAGTGGTGACGACAGTGTGCCTGCCCATAGCCTCAACTCCCAGATGTTTTAGCTGCCCCCAGCCTGCCTCCTTCCTCCATGAGAGCAGCAGCTAGTTGCGGAGAACCTGCACCCCACAGGCAGCAGAGAAGCCCAGGGAGAGGTGGCACGGGCCGTCTGCATAGTCAGCAACCCTTGCTGAGCGCAGGGAATGCCCTCCAGGCCATGGGCTCCCTTTGCTGCCTCCTCTGCAGTTTCTTTTACTTGGGTCAGGTTTCCTTACAGTGCATTGGATGAATGAGAATAAGATATGTGTTGGCAGGAGTTCAGCTGAATACTGCCAAGGCTTTCCAAGGAAGCGCATGAATTTAAGCAGGGCAAAGTTTCAAGTCAGTGGGGCTGGGAGTAATGGGTATTCTGCTAATAATGAAGAGTACAACTGTTTTTATGCTCAAAGGTTAACAAATGGGATTCTTTCACTGGCCTATTGGCCTGCTCAGTTATACAGTGGAAACTGCTCCTGATCTTTGCTTTATTGTACTTGTATTTTCTAGGTAATTAGAAACATTTTCCACTCAGCATTTGAGAGGTTTGAGCTGGCCTGAGGGTTTTTTTTTTTTTTTTAAACTTAACTTCCCTTTTTTTAACTAATAGTTTTTTTCCCTTTTGTAAGCAGACTGAAACTGTAAAGTAACAAGCTCTTCCAAATAGCACATAGGCTTTGCCCACACAGTTACTACATTTGTTGTGGGATTAGCACTTTCCAAAAATATATTTCTACACAAGATTCTCATTTTTCCCAAAAGTGTGATTCTTCATTATGTATTGTACAGATTTGGGCAAGAAGGGACCCAGCCCCATCCATTAAAACTTCAGTTGTAAAGGCAGTCATTGCAAATAAAATGGAAACTGTTTATGTTAATGAACCAGCAGGAAAATGAAGTCTGTTGAGACTCCTAAAAAAAAATGGTACTTTATAGTGGCTTTAGCTATTTTTATTAGCTTCTTTAAGTCACCTGTTTGCTGACTTCCTCCAGCAAACAAAACAAATATTGTTTTGTTTAATTCCTGATGTTCATCATCAGGTTCACTGTTCCCTTAATAAAATTACACCTTTGCCCCAGACATCCATTTGAGAGTGCTCAGGGCATTCCTCGTAAGAAGGGCTGGTCTCGGGCTGTGAACGGTGTCTGGGTAATGGTTCATGCTTTCCCCTCCAAATGGTGGGGAGACACAGACATAATTGAAACTTACAATGTCAGGGGGTAATTTTATTCCATTATTTTAAATGAAAACGAGGAGGTATCCTAGCTAGGAAAATAGCCTTATAGAAGCCCTAAGCACCCACATGTAGCTGAATGCATGTAGGGGGCATAAATTCTGTTCCTTCCCAGCCTTTACCCCTCCCCTGCCTCAGTCCCCCTGCTTCTGGGCCCCTCACCCAAACAGCGCATGCTGTCAGTGGGCGGGAAATGCAGTAAGCCACAGGTAAGGAGCTCAGTATCCATTTTCCCTGTCAGATCTCCCAGCTGATGACAGAGACTGGCCGAGAGGGACTCACCGAAGCAGCGCTGAACCGCTACAATGCAGACAAGCCTGCGGCCTGCAGCGTCCCAGCCTCACAGGGCTCTTGTGTGGCCAGCGAGCCTTCCACAGGCACCTCAGTGGCCGCTTCCTTCTTCGCAAGGTAAGAACGAGAACCTTCGGTTCTTTCAGACGTGCCCACCTGGTTCACCTCTCACGTGGACCAGTTTAACTAAAACACCAGAAACAGTTTGGAGGTGTTCTCTGACTTAACTCTTTAAGACAGAAAACCCTTTTCTCAACCTTGGCACTATTGACATTCATGGAGGCTGCCTTGTGCATTGTAGGACGTATAGCAGCATTCCTGGCCTCTACCCACTAGATGCCAGGAGCACTGCCCCACATTAGGACGACAGACATGTCTCCAGACATTACCCAATGTCTTGGGCTGAGAACCACTGCAGTAAGAATACACGGCTCAGGATGGTCCCCCAGGGGATGAAGACGTCGGTGGGCGCAGCCCAGAGACTTGCGTTTCCAGGTCTCTCTTCCCGTTACAGAAAGGGAAATGCTTAAAATCAACTTTTTTTCCTTCTTGATAGACTAGGTGAATAATTAGCAAATACTATCCATCTAATCTTAGAAACTTTAAAAACATGAGAAGCAACAAAGAAAGGTATTTCAACAATGTTTTCTGCATATTTTTAGCAACAGGGCACAGAGGGGCAGGAGACACAGGACAGCTGAGCAGGAAAGGACTAGAGGGCTTGTCTGATTCCATCTCCTCAACTTTATGAAGGAGGAGACCAAGGACCAGAAAAGTTAGCCTGTGAGTTCATTTATAGCGGAGCCAGAAATAGAAACCAGATTTCTCTGTCTTTTCTCTCTGTGCCTCATTCTTCATTTGATACTCGGAACTCAGCCTTAGAAAACTTTTTCTACGTGAGATTTGAAAGTCTCCGAAGAAGCAGGACATGGAATAAATAGCACCAGATATGAAATCAGAAGACCCCCTTGGGTTCAAGTTCCTGTGCTGTCTCAGTTTCCTCATTTACAAAAGGAAAGATAACACCTACTCTGCAGTGTTGCTGTGAGGATTAAGATAAAATGATTATAAATTATAAAGTACTATAACCAAAACCGGAGGAGCCCTGATAGCGCAATGGTTAAATACTGGGCTGATAACTAAAAGGTCAGAGGTTCAAACACACCCAGTGGCTCCATGGGAGAAAGACCTGGAGATATGCTTCCATAAAGATTACAGCCTAGAAAAACCCTATGGGGCAGTTCTACTTTGTCACATTGAGTTGCTATGACTCAGAATCTACTCGACAGCACTCAACAACAGGAACATAACCAAAACCACCAGTTCCATTGAATGGATCCTGACTCATGGCAACCCAGTGTGTGTCAGAGTAGAACTGTGCTCCACGGGGTTTTCAATGGCTGATTTTTTGGAAGTAGACTGCCAGGCCTTTCTTCCAAGGTGCCTCTGGGTGGACTCGAACCTCAAACCTTTCAGTTTGCAGCTGAGTGCATTAACCATTTGCACTACCTAGGAACTCCATTAAAAAAAAATCGGTTACCATCAAGTTGATTCTGACTCATAATTCAATATAGATTTAGCTAGTATGTTAGTTAGAAGGAATATTTCATAGCTTTTCTTGTTATCCCTGTGAATGTCACCATCCAAAATACATACAAATATGAGGAAGAGGCTGAGATTAGGAAAGGAGCAAATGGAGAAGGAAGAGGGGCTAATGTCCTGAATTAAAGTAAATAAAGGCAGTACAAGGACTGGTTAGAACACTGGGTTTGAGGTTTTGATTGTACCTTGTTGCCATGTTTATTGTCCTCTGAACACTTGAGCCAACTTGAATGTGTACAAAGTAACAGGAAATATGTATGTGCTGGCCACCCAGAGGTGGGGGCCTTTGGTCATGACCACCATTCAGTGAGGAAATGCAGAGATGGAACAATTCATGAGGAAGTGCTGCAATCACAGAAGACCACAGGACCTAGGTAGTTTACTAGCACATGTCCAGAGAAGAGTGACCTAGTTCCAAGAGGAATTAGGAAGTCATGTCATGTATAAGGAATGGTTAAGAGACCTGCAGATTTAGATGTCTCCTGGACTATTGTGTAAGAGAGATGTGATTGGTTCTGTAGAGCACCAGAGTATGTGGGCAAAGGCTGAGCAAAATCTAGTGATGGAACGGAGATAGCTGTGAGCTCAGAATGAAGGAGAACTTGCTCACAGTTCAAACTGCCCCAGGAGAGACTGAGGTCCCTGGCACTGAGGGAGATCAAACTTGCATTGGATAATCACCTGGCCTTGATGCTGGAGAGACTATTCCGGGCTCAATGGGAGCTCATCTCGAGTGTACTTTCCTAACCTGAAATTCTTTGAGTATGAATAGCCTTCGATTCTGAGTCCATCCAGAGAATTTTACAGAAAATCAAGTGACTCACCAAAAAATCCAGAAGGATTTGAAGCAGGAAGATATAAGACGTTGAGGCTCCTGATGCACAGTGCTTAGGGAGAACAAGTGTTTCCTGGTGCAAGAAAATCAGCAGCTTCTTTAGAGCCAGGGAAAGGGTGTCTGAATGAGATGAGGGCTGAACAGGAGTCCCGAGGACAGATTTCATGTTAATCGGGAGGTGGACTGACAAACAGATAAAAATTAAGGAAAAGAAGGTCTCCTCTGAGATTCTTGCTTACAGTCAAGGAATGGAATGGAAACAGGGAGGTGAACCAAAAATGGATGGGCTAATGATGTTGACAGAGGGAGGCCCTGCAGATGATGCTAGTGATAAACAAAAACTCTTAGACTGGTGACTTCAGGATTGCAAAGGCTTGACGTATAAGCTTTCTAAGAGCTGGAATGGATCCATAAAACAAACAAACAAACAAACCCAAACCCATTGCTATTGAGTCAATTTTGACTGCTTGTGACACTGTGGGTAGAACTGCTCCATAGGGTTTGTAAAGCTGTAAATCTTTACGGAAGTAGACTGCCAAGTATTTTTCCTGCTGCTCTGCTGGTGGTTTGAACCGCTGACGTTTTGGTTAGCAGCAAAGCGCTTTAACCACTGTGCCACCAGGGTACCAGAAGGGATCCATAGAGCTGCCTAAATCCTTACTATTACACATTAAATGGTGACTGCTGATAGCACTTGGAGTTTAATGGTATAAGGCATTAAAAGTACATGGTTTTGTGAAGAATGTGCTCCTTGCAACAGCCAACTTTATGAGACCAAAAGGGCAGCATTTGCTCAAAACCAAAGATGAGAAGGCAGAGAGAGGAAGGGAAATAGGATGAATGGAAATGGAGAACCCAGGGTGGAAATGGGGAGAGTGCTGACACCTTGAGAGGATTGCAGCCAGTGTCATGGAACAATTTGTGTATGGATTATTGAATGAAAAACTAATTTGCTGTGTAAACATTCACTTAAAGCA